TTGCAAAGGGACATTTATTCTGATCATCAATTCATTATTGGACATCTACTGGGTCCTAGGACTTGCTAGAGATGCACAAATAAATTTTTAAATACCTCACCCTTCTGAGGAAGCTTAAAAATATTAAATTTTACAGATATTCAACAGGTAGCCAGATGACAACTATACATTATATGTACAGGTAATGAGAAGTCCAAGTGTTTGGGGAACTTCATCCACGCTGGAGGACCCAGAGAGTCCTGCATGGAGACGCCACAGTCCAGGTGAAGTCAGGGGGATATTTAGGTGGCGGCTAGGTGAAGAGTTGGGGAGAAGGTTATTTCAGGAAAAGGGTCTTGCATAATGACGGCCCAGATAAGAAAGATTATTCGTGTATTTAAGAAACAGGAAGGATGCCCATGGATAGGGATCTAGTGTGTGACTGATGAAATTTAGATAGAAGGCTAGGAGGTCGAAAGAAACCAGACCCACTGCTATTTCAGTCTATTCTGACTCATAGTGATTCTACACGGGGTTTCAGGGGCCGTAGGATCTTTACAGGACAGAAAGCCTCTGCTTTCTCCCCTCAAGCTAGTAAGCCAACCCTGACTCAGCAGTACCATCAGAGCAGGGAGACAGGGGCAACCAAGTAGATGGGGCCTTGTGGTTCCCTCTGAGAATTTTGGAAATATTTTGGACTTCATATGAGAGACAATTAAGAACTTACATTACTGGAAGGTCCACTTTGGACAATCTAAATCGGAAGTCCTCCATTGAGATATTCCATATAGAGTAGACATATTTCAATTTCATTTTCCAGCTGGGAGACGTGGCTAGAGGGAGAGACTTCAGACTCTTAAACCAGATGATCTGAACTTGATCACTCAGAAGGTGTAGAGTGGAGAGAGATTATAGTTGAAGCTGGGATTTGGTCAGCAAAGGAGGTGGGGACAAGGTGAGCTAAAAAGGCGGTGAGCCAGTGAAGTCACAGGTCCAACAAAGTCCAATAACAGATCCATGGGGCTTGCAGCTTGGGGGATCTTACGGAAAGCAGGTTTCAAAGCTTGATACAGATAGTAGACTATAGATTGCAATGGCTTTTAGAATCACACCTTAGTGGAAGAAGCAGAAACAATGAGTAGAAACTAGCTCCCCCTCCCCAACCAAGCTTTGCTGTGAGACTTGTAGTCCTGGTGGAAAAGAAGAAACAGTAACTAAATGTACCATCTCATCTAAAACAACTAACAACACTGGGGGTAGGGGAAGAAGGAAGATTAAACAATGGTATTGAAGACATGGGCGTCAGGCAATAATGGAGAGTGGGCAAAGGCACAAGAGAGTGTGTACTGTGGGATTGTATTTACGTGCAATTCTAGAACATGAGAATGACTGTGTGGTGACAGGAAGTAGCTAAGTGATTGTCACTTGGAGGATCAGTTTAGAGAAAGGCTGGGGAAATAATTACAAAAGAACATATGGACACTTTGGGGGCTGATGCACATGTTCATTATCTTATGATGATAATGGCTTTGCACACACACATGCACCCACACAATCCCAAGCCCACAGCTGTGGATTCTGATTCATGATGAACACAGGTATGGGGATGTGTGTACCTAAGACATGTCAAAATTTATCAAATTGACTAAACATTTGTAGTGTATTGTATCTCAGTGGGATGGCAACAAAGGAGACAGATAAAGAAATGCATCTTAGAAACAAAGGAGAGCAATGGTCAGCAGCTAGAAGGAGATGATGGGTTGACTGACAGCTGACAGTTTTGTTCCTTTGGAGAGGTGACTGTGCTTCCATTCAATCTCCAGCACAGTTTTAAGCTGAAGGAAGGCATCAGAAGACGACAGGAAAGAGGGAAGGAACTGATAGAACACGGTCCAAAGAGAAAAGGAAAATGTGTAGAGCCCAAGGTGAAGGGACACCTTTTGAACTAGAGAGAAACAGACACAGATACTTGTAGGATACATGGAGGCACATGACTTCCTGTTTGGTTCCGTTTTGGTTTTGTTCCCTCAGTGCCACACGCTGAGAATAATACCTTCTTAAGCTTGTGTACTAGTAACCTGAACATTAGCCAAATCATCAAATGTCCCCACTGAAGAGTACACATCTCAGAAATAATTCTCTCAAATTCGGTGGCCCCTTCTATAAAGGTTTCAAATTACATGAATCTCTGATACACTCTAAAAATTAGATTATTTTCTTGAAAAGTAGACTATGCCTTTCCCCATATCCATAAAGGCTCTAAATTAGGTCTTCAACCCTGTGAACAAAGCTGAGAGCCCTGAGTGGAGGAAAAACTCTCCCAGGGAAAAAGGAATGAATAGATCATGGGATTTTTCCATGAGTTTTTTGATGCCCCCTGGTATCTGTGCGCTCTGGATATGCGTCTGTGTAGGATGGCAAGAGGCACAAGCAGTCATCTAAGTGATCAGGACATTGAGCGTCACAATCCACAGTCTGATTACTTTTCATATTTGTGCTTGCTGCAGAATAATTGGCACATGATTCAATGCTGCCAAAGAAGGACAAAAACAAGATGTCAGTTTAACTGAATCTATGGTCCCTTTTCTCTGAATCAGAATCAACTCGATGGCAGTGAGTCTGATGTTCTAACGTGCTACTGTAATCAATAACATTCAGACTTAGAGACTATTAGTCTGGCACTTTAGCACCACAGACCCCTGGATCGTGATCTGAGAATAGTGCCGCTGAGTATTCCAGGTACCTTCCCCAGGTTCAAGACCAAATGCGCTCCACACGTGAAGTGAACATAATGAAGACTACCAAGGAGCCCCGGTGGTGCAGCGGTTAAAGCACCCTGCTGCCAATTCCGAGGTGCAGCAGCTGGAACTCTGGAAGAGGAAGCTTTCTCCCACAACCATGAACAGCTCTGGAACTCTGGGGCAGTTCTTGTCCTCCAAAAACCCCCAACGTCTCCGCCATGGAGTCCATGCTGACTCAGAGTGATCCTGTGGAACAGGGTGGAACTGTCCCCACGCGTTTTCGAGACTGAAAACCTTTCGGGGCATAGAAAGTCTCCTCTTTCTCTCGAGGAGCAGCTGGTGGTTTTGAACTGCTAACCTTCTGGTTAGCACCCCGGCGCACAATCACTGCACCAGGAGCGCTGCCCTTTTTAATTTTCTTCTTCTTCAGTGACTCAGAATTCACCCAGTTGGAAGTGGGTTTGGTGCTGGAGTTTAAGGCAATTCAAAGTGCCAGCTGGTAAAGGGGAAGGAAGCTGCGGAGCTTTAAATCCCCAGCATTTGGGACCCAACTTTTTCTTCTAATAGCACCTTGGCCAGGGGTGTCTCCAGATGGTCCGAAGACAGTTCTTTGCATTTCCCACCATGGAGAGTTCTAGTCGCCACAGTGCTTTGCCGGCTTGTAGTATTTGGGGAAGTCCTCATCTAATCTCCCCGAAAAGCGTGCTGAGGGAAGGGGAGAAAGCCCAGGAAGTCTGCTCCCAGTCTCTGGGGTGGGTGGGGGGTTTGGGGTCCCCGCAGAGTGCCTGACAGTCTTCGCCAAGTTGCTTTCCTCCCCAAACGCAGAGCTGCGCCCCAAAGATGCTCCACCCAAATAGGGGACCCGGGTGTCTAGCCCTCTTGGTTGCTGAGGGTCCCGGGCACAGGCGACCCGTGGACCTGAGCTAAGTGTGGCCCTGGGCTCTCCGCGCGACTAGACGGGACGC